CGAAGGAGGATCCTCTAGCAATCGCCGTCCAATTATCAGGAATGACCAATAATTAATATATATATATTATTTAGACTAATTACATTGTTTACACTGTCGTAGTATTGTCCTCATATTGTTGTTGTTATCACAACGTTTCAACGTTTGCGACCTTCGGTCTTCATCAGGTGTATATCGATCTGGGTAACCTACAAGGAATTCTGAAGTGAACCCTTTATTTAATCTAAATTTAGACTATTCTAGTTCTACTGCCAATGTCTAGGGCGTGGCCGGTAATAAAGTTACAGGAAAAATGTCACAGAAAATGCCACAATTTTAGCTAGGAGAAAAATGTCACAACTTGGTATTGCGTGTGACATATTTGGTTTAAATGAACCTATTATGGTAGATTTTTAAACCATACTTATTACTGTCAATAATTTACATCGTAGGGGTTGTCAAAATTATTTTTCACTCAATACAAGTTTTTTGATACACAACAGCTTTGAGATCCGAGATTTCCACCATGTTGTCTTCAGGGTCAGGAATAGTGTGTTTATTTTTGTGCGTTTATTTATGTATTATTATATTTTTTTTGTCTTCTGTTATTTTTCAAAAAATTCATTAAGGCTAATTTTATTTGTTCATCAACGACATCTTTAGGGAAAGTTATTGTTGATAAGTGTTTGTTTTATTTTCTTTTTTATAGAAAAATTCTTCTGAATAAGAGATGATTTTAGCCCCGAAAAAAATGTATATGTGAGATATACATTTCTTTTTTTTTTTTTTTTTAGCTGAGAAAATATAAAAACCACGGGAATCCACTAAAAATAACATTTTGATGTAATAAATATGTCGGATTTAAACAACATCCATTAATTCTTTAGAAATTGCTTTGTTTACGTTTCGGATGAAAAATCGAGCAGATATGGGCTTTGCCGGAAATCTGAATAACGGGATGTGCATTCCTTTAAACGGTAAACAGAATCCCAGAAGACTGCTTTGACCTCCGTGGCTGATCGGCCTAAAGCATATTGGATAAGACGGTGGTGTCTGCTACAAATGGGAACGCGAGTTCGAACACTGCTGGAGAATGCATTTTCTTTACAAAATTTTCTCGAGTGCGCTGGTAAACAAACACGGGTATACACTAAAATAAAGTTTGAAGTAATCTATATAACAAATGCTAATGTGTGTGTCACACTTTTTCAGTTAAAGGGACACAAATCTCAATCGCTCATCACTTTCTTTTATATAATAAATGCGAATATCAGTGTATCACACTTTTTCAACTTTACTCCTAGAGGCCGTAGCCCAATAAATGCCAATGTCGGTGTGCCACACTTTTTTAATTAAAGGGAAACAACTCTCCATAACTCATCTCCTTCTTCTATATAATAAATGCGAATGTCAGTGTGTGTGTTGCGACGAATTATTTTTGTTTCGATAATTTTTTATAACTTGGAAATCAGTTTGAGAATAATCAGAATCAATTGTGAAACTAAGCGAAAGTCATCCAAGAAATAAAAAAAATTGTACGGAAAGTAAGGACCTGCGGACATCAATTTATCTTTAAATTAAGAATTATCGTTGAACTTTTAAAGGGTAAACTTAAATATTAATGCAATACGATCAATTTTGAGTTCTTCTGTAGTTAATTGTTGCCTATCGTATCTACTCCTCCCAACCTATTCTGAAGGCCCAATCAGGAGCCCTCCACAGGAGCTAGCTTAAATACTGCCTGTTAGGGCATTTTTTAACACACACACACACACACACACACACACACACACACACACACACACACACACACACACACACATATATAAGCCTGTTTCGCTATATCACAGATCAATGTGGCTAGACATCTGATGTGCCATCAATCACAGTCTCTTCCTCTGAGCTATCGGCGCACGGCAAAGAAAGGTGATATTTCAATGTATTATATAGGTGATGTATATAAAAGCCAAATCAGCAGCTAGAGCGCTCAATTCATAACTGAAGAGCGATGCGTTATAAGCAGTAGCAGCCACTGTTTGAAAATTTCTCAATACTCGTGGGTTATCTGTCGATACTTTTTAAATTCATTTTCAAACTTTTCGCAAATACAGATGTGTGAAAATATACTTTCCGAAAGAACTGTTTAGTAGTCTGAAAAAAGAAAAGAAGAAAGTATTAATTAAAAGCATTTTAAATACCACATCTAACGTTATAAAAGATCACCAATACGTAATTAAAAAGTGGCGGCAGTTAACCCACAAGCACCCATATATACAGTATGCGATGGCTAAACTATCGCCATTTTTTATTTGCAATTTCCGAATGCGTGGTGATTTTAATTTTGTCGACGGCACAGTATAGTAGGGTCAGTTTGGTACCGTCTATGCGAAAAAGGGTACCATAACGCAATTCCCTCCGCCAGAAATTTAGAGACGGCATGCTGTACTGCTTGGCATTCGCGCCGGAAGCTCTAATACGAACATTGACGAATTACGAGTAGTTGGATGTCGATTTGAAGACA